AAGTCGACTAAAATTTGGAAGTATGGGCACCAAAAGAAAGGAATAAAGGCAGTATTTAAACTAATGCTTTTTTGGTCAACCAATTGGCAATTTCTATTTTTCATCATCAGATTCATATTCTCCACAGCAAAAATGCTTCTTCACCATCTCTTTTTCTTTTTAGGAGAAAAAAAAATTAGCTCACGAAGAACTCATATTTGCATAGACTTTTTGCACACAAAATTGATCGAAATAGTTATCGTTGGATTTTAACATTTCTCTATGCCTGCTTGGAGACAGAGATAAAAACAAATTTTAAAAAAAAAAAATTATTTTTCTTAACCTCAATTGTTCAGATTATCAATTTTATTGGGCTAATAAAACTTTACACGGAGATGAACAGGATTGAGAGCCCCCAAGACCAGGCCCAAGAATTAAATTTCCATCTTCATTGAAAGCTAAGCACCGTCACCGTTTACCCAGCAATAATGTCTGTAGTTTCACATTATATGCCCCATAAATAAATGAAAAAAAAAAAAGAAGAAAAAAGAAAGCACAAGTTATATTGGACTGGAACTTGCAAAACTAAGCATATCAATATAACATTTCTGTCATGCATAGTTATTTACAATCAGATACCAATATAATTCCCCATTATTAAACACAAGAACATCACAACGAAAATTTTGATTTGTTTCTTATCATTGTCAGCTACTATCAACACAGGAACAGGTGAAGATAATGTTCTAGTAAAAGAAGAAATCAAGCATAAATAAAGTATAAAGGAAGGCGGAGTACTCTAGGATGCCAAACTCTCTACGATATTCTTATAACGCAGCTTCATACTAATCCACTAATCCAACCCAGATTACTCAGATTCTGTCAATGGGTTCTGTATGGTCTTGAACAGCCAAACGTTCTGAAACATCAGCAAGCGACTTGAGGTTACATTTAAGTAGAGCCTCAACAAAGTAGCACGTCTCATCCTTGGTGTTCCCCTCTGGGACATCCACCACAAATGACTCGATCACCAATGTTCCTGGTCTCCCATCAATGACCTCAGGGTGAACAGTTACAATGGATGAGTAGTTCTGAAAATTCAGATAACAGAGAAAATAAAGCAAACTTTCAGTTGATCAAATTATCCTAGAATGTAGAAGACGGTAAAATTCGCCAAGCATAAGCATAAGATATAAACTAAATCAGGGACACAAGCTGATTCAGATGAGAAAGTCATATCAACGGTCAGGGGATCTGTCTGTGTACTGTGTAGCCCAATGAAGAGTGCAAATTCAGTGAATATAGAGACTCTGGGAGTCAAATTCAATAAGAAAAAAATCCTTAGAAAAATAACCACGGGTAGATTTATAAATTTCTACAGTTAAACTGCAAAATTCACTTGATGACAAATAAGACTATAAAACATCATTATAATTGCTAGTGGAGAAACAAAATCATCTGGACCATGTAGGAAGACAAAATCAAATTGCCAACATGCTGGCCATGTTCCAATATTTACAAGTAAAGACAATCTCACTTCACAAGTCCTGACATCTAAATTTGGTCAAACAAAAGCATCAATCTGATATTCATTGTTGTTTGTCTGTTACGTGACAGTTGCATTTGGATTATGTGAGAATATGCATGATACCCCAAATTTAATGTTCTTTGTGAATGGAAGGTTGAGAACACAGAATTTAAAATTGCATTGTTACCTGCTGAGAAAAAGCTATGTTGGAACGAGGATGGAGTGACGCGATAGTGACACACCACAATAAAAGTTTTCCCATTATGTGATTTGAAAATAACCAAATTCATTGCTGAGTAAGATATTGTAAGGTCATACCTTTAACCTGTGATCCCCACCAACAATCCTCATGCTCAAAATGTGCTCTTCATCATCTAGAAGCTCCAATCTTTCAGTGCTGGTTGTGGCTGGTAATCCTGACTTGACATTCACTTCCCTAACACTTCCAATCTGAAGGTCGCCCTGGACAACACATCTGCTAACAAATGGTTTATACTTCTGTGGTTGATCAAATCTCCTCACCAGGGACCAAACCTAGTCATCCAAATTATCAACATTCATTCAATCAGCAGGAAGAAAACACAAAAAAAAAAAAACTTAAATTAGTCAATTTGAACACACATCCGGGCTCGATTTACAATTTTATCTACACACTTGTAAGGTCAAGTCACTAAATTAACACAATATATTGATCCCAATCCATGTGCCACCTATGGTTGATAATAAGCAAAATGCAAGTATAATGCATAGTGTTTGCATCATTCATCTTCAACAACATGCAAATATTAAGCAACCAAACAAATTAACATAAAAAAAAAAATTTTCTCCAGTAAAATCTCTTCTGATACATTGCAGCTCCTCATCATATACCACAATAAGCATAAACATATTGCCAAATGCTCTAAAAATTCAGTCGAATCAGTTTCTAACTACAGATTCTAATTGGTGAAAAAAAAATAGCAATAACTAAGCATCTAGAGCCCAAAACAACTGCGAGATGTTCTCAGATCTGCATACAGATTCTTCATCAGATTTCGAAGAAGAAAATATGAAATTGAAGAAACGAACGAAAATCTTACGAGATGAACAGGAGCTCTGACGTGTTTAACGAGCGAAGAGCTACACTGATTGTCTTTGACTTCGTGTTTGTGGTGCCTTCTTATGTACTCTTCCTCCATCTTGCTAAATCCGTGCCCGTTCGTGGCGATATAATCATTGGTCACCATCAAGGTAACCCGGGGGAACAAAAAAACCCTAATCGGGGAGCGCCGGTCAAAATTCGCCGGATATCGGATCCAGGAAAGGTTATCGGAGAAGCCTAGGACTAGAAGAGTCCAAGAGGCAGCGCCATTGGCAAGGTTCAAGAGCGAAAGGTCCAGAGCTTCTCATCTCATTGCCTGGATTTAATTATTAATTTAGAAAAAAATAAGTGAATAAATCAAGAAAAAAATTTTTTTTATGGGTTATTCGTACCGTCCATGTGTGAGTGGTGACTTTTATTAACTCACTTTAATCGTGATCTACGTTTTTTTTAATCAATTATTATCTCTAACACTATAACTTTATAAGTTTATTGTTAAAGTATTAACTTATACATTCATGTTTATTTGTCTTTTTTTTTTAAAGATCAAAAAAATTATTTTAAAATTATGTAATTTTAATAAAATATTATAAAAATAAATATTACAAAAAATGACAAAAGGTGTTTTAATTTTTTTAATAAAAATTTATTGAAATAATATAATTTTAAAATAATTTTTTTTTAATTACAGTAGAGATGAGATGGATAAGTATTATTCCTTAATTTATTATTATTT